GATTCGGCTTTGGTGGCGCTCCGTACCGGGTTTGTTCCTTGTTGATATTCTGAGTGATGCCGTCCTGCTGCTACTAAGCTGGGGGTTGGCGTCCGTCCCGCTCCGTCTTGTGTTATGTGTGCGCTGTTACACCAAAACATATCCCAGATTCTACCCATTGTGGTTTCAATCAGTGTGTGTGGCTGTGTTATGCCTGTGTGGCTGTGCTGTGGTCGTCTGTGAAACACATCACTCAGGTGTGCCTGAGACCCGGCTCGACGAACCACGGCTGGGTGCTCCGGACGCCCTGCCTGGCAACGACGACCTCCAGCCGGTGCCTGGCAGAGGCGTACCCGGCACTGCCTCGTCGTCATCCTCCGGCGGCCGATTTTCTCCAGTGTCTGCAAGAGGCGTCACGGGGCAAAGCTTGACATTTTTCTTGCCATCGTCTGGTTCTTGTCATCATCGGCCTCCTTGTCATCGTGCTTCTTCTTCTCGTCATTGTCGTCGCTCTGCTCCTCTGATGGATGCTTCTCGAGATACCACCTCGTGAACGCGAGCCCATCTTCAACGAGGCTTTTCTTGTAGAACTCACGCATGCAGCTGCCGCTCTGAAAGTCATCGTCCTCCTGCTTGGCCGGTGACCTTCATGGTCTTCTTGGCCGGCTTGGCTGCCGGCTTTGCATTCTTAGCCATGCATTTGTCCCACAGCATGCCGGGGCATCCGGGGCCCATGCGTAAATCATCGCCAATATCAATCTGTTAAGCAAGTTCAAGGAGACGGCGCCCGTATAGGGCCGTGCGTTTAAGCACATTTCAGACCGTTGTGGGTTGGAGGGGGGGGGCTAATGACGTCCGCTTTGCGCAAACTTGCTGGCCCAAGTCTAGATCGCGGGGATGTCCGGCTGGCTGTATTTGCGCTCCTGATCCTGCGGGGGACAAGCGGGCTCTTGCGACTACCGGCTTTTCCCGAACAGTACTAGAACTGTACTCTCACAGTCACTCAACACTAAACGATCCTATTTTTAGGCTTCAAGGCAGTCACCAACTTTTCACATGCCATAATAATACCAAGGATTTTCCTAGAAGCTTCAAGGCCTTGCCTTCTGTACAACGCTACCGGGCTCTAAGCAACGCAAACCTGCACCATGACTCTGGCCCCCGAAAAAGGTGCGAAACGCCCCCCCTGCTGTAGCCAGAGCACGATTTTTGCAGCTTTTCTTTTTCAAGCTATCCCTTGCCAAAAGCACTCTCCGGAAAAAAACCTCCCAAAACGCAAAATGCTTACAGTGCAAAACACAGCCGTGCTGTGGCGAGAGCACGAATTTCAAGCAAAAAAGATCTTGAAACTTTGAATTTCAAGACCCCCCGACCAAAAAAGACTCAAAATTCGACAAAACGCCGCGCAAAAATGCATTTTCACGAAAAGTTCGCGTGAGCTTCTAGTGTTTTCGGGACCTGCAAACGTGGATGACCCATACAAAACGCGCGTTTCGCTCGAGTTTTGGCCACTCGGACGTCTTGCACTGACAAACAAAAGTCTCCAAACGCACGGCCCCGTACAGGCGCCGTCACCTTCAACAATCGCCCATGCGCTTTTTTTGGAAAGGGTCCGCAACAAGCTGATTCAACACGTGGTAGCCATGCTCGTAGGTTGGAGCGCTTTGCAGAGGCCTGGGCCCGGTCGATTGATTTGACGAGCCGCGAGGTGCTTGGAGAACTCGTCCGATGAAAGGCTCTCGGGCAAGCTCACCTAGGCTTTAGCGAAACAAAAGACCAGAAGGCCTAATCAAGGCCAAAGTACGGAGGTTACTGAGAAGAACGCATGCGCCGAAACCCACCCTGCATTTGCCCTCTGTGGCAAACGGCTGTGCGGTGGAGTTCCAATTTGCGCTTCTCTACTGCTTTCTCTCTTTCGTGATGGATGCTTCAAGTTCCTGGAGTTCCGAACGTCGTGCTGTCTGCAAGCCTAGTCTTGTTGGCAAATCCGTTGGTAAGGCAGTCTTGTCACCGTGAACTGCAGGGAAGCGATGTCACGGCTGCTAAGTCCTCGGCCCCGCAAACTGAATGAGGACAGGCGGAGAACAATGTCTGATTTTCGTCAAACCTATAGGTCCAGCAGAATGCGGTTGGTCTGGCCCAGAAGCCGGCACACTGCCGAAAGTGCTTGCTTGCCATTACGAAGCCAACATGACACCTCACTACATGCGCCATCAAAGACAGGTGGCGTTCTATTTTGATGATGTTGATGCCCTTTGTTCCGAAGACACTCATCACCTCGCCGGATGGGGGCCTACGATTTGCACCAGGCACTCCTGTTATAAAAAGCCCGCCGATGATGATACTGCAGGTATTAGCAATGAACCTCCGTCGGCGCTTGTGCAGGTTGCCAGTTCTATTAATTGGTGTTTCCAGAGCAAGCAACCTGCTGCAAGCGCCCATTACAAATACGAACATGCCAAAGCTTCAGTAGCAATGAAGATTGTTTGCAGCATCGGCAGAGCTCCGCTTAAGGTTGGAAGGTGAAGCCATTGGTTGAGGCGTCTCATAGCCAAACCTAAAAACTGTTCAGTCAAGCTGCTTCACTCAGCGAAGTGCTGCTAATGTTCGGCTTCTGCACCAGTGTCACAACCTCCGTTCCATTGAGCTCAACTGACGGTCGAATTTCGGACGAAGGATAATGCGCTCAAGCCGACAAAAGTTACTGTTCAGAGCTTCGCGAAAGTCAGGCCTGAGAAGCGAAGTCGTGTCCATGAAGGCACGTTAACTAGGAATCCAACTGACATCGCCTGGTAATACCTCACAAGGCTGTTCAAAAGGCGAGATACGTATCTGTTCTGATATCGAAGCTGCCAGTTGTAGTCTTTTGCAGAGTCGTTGACGTCCATAATGGCGAAGCCCTCCTGCAAAATCGAAGTGGCATGAGCCCACCAAGATAATGCGAGGCCGCAGCGCCGACGAGGCACGAAGCCGCGATTTGCTTGCACGCCAAGGTTCCTTCTGGCAAGTGTACACAAGCTCCTTCACGACCGCATCCGGCTGGGCCTGCACAACGCCACCAATCCACATTAACATGCCGACACGCCTTCGGCCTTCAGGACTGTCAGGTCCAGACCAAGGCACATGCCACCGTCCTCAGCATGTTCCCACGCATGTCAGTTCCTTCTTCACAGGCATATTCAGAAAAGCCGCCTGCAGGCTGCACTGTCGAACTGTTGTGAGCTGCACATCGTTTCCTGCACCATGTCTCATGCACTCCCCCAGTGATCCTGCTGTGAATTGCAAGATCTCCAAGCACCGAGAATGAATTCAGCTAATGATGTCAAGCAGCTCAAAGGGGCCAGGGGATGGAATATCCGCTGCAGTTGACCAGCGGTCCGAGTCTGGGCGCTAACCTCGTCACGGGAGTCTGTCGCCTCTGTGTTTCCGTCACTGGTGAATGCGCGCAGTTGTTCTCACAGATCAGCATCAAGGCCTTCGCGGGAGACTGTGGCTTGGGAATTGCACAGTTCAAGTAAACAACCCCGGTAAAAAGTCTACTCGACTATACCATGAAGAGCCCCCTCGACAGGAAGTCGCCATACGTTACAAAAATGACATGCCTGCACCATGAAGCGCTTGGCTGCGGGTGAAGGAGGCACGGCCGAACCCGACGGCTCCTGCACAGTGTGAGTGCCTGATACTTTGTTTGCCTGTTGAACATATGCTGCGTCGGGCTGTGGTCAATGTCTTATTTGGCTTCGACCGCTACTCTGCCTTTGTTTCTGGAGGTCTTGGGGACGCGGAGTCTTCGATAAGGCAAGACCACAGATGTTAACACAAATCGAAACAAGACAAAGTAAAATAAAACAAGACAAGATAACCCAATACAATCCAATCCATAATCTAGCCCTGTCTAATCTCATAGAGTACGATACAATACAATGCGATGTAACGCAAATAGCATAACATAACATAGCATGTTATAAAAACTCTAGAACACACTATCATACCATGTCATACAAAACATTACAAACCATACTGTATCGCAAAACCCGAGAATGCTTGGTTAAAGCACCTACATGCAGTATAGTATGCTATTAGCATACTATCGTAACAAAGCATAAAACAATACCATGTAAATGTAATGGCATGTAATGCCATGGAACAACATTGCATATCATGTAGCATCATTAAAATCATATCATGCGATATCACATAACATCACGAAAACTCATACATTCTCATAGAAATACCACACGAAATCTTCTCATAACCTACAATACCATATAACAACGTATTGTACAATATCATATCAAATCATATAGTATTGTACAATGTAACATGACAAACACAAGCCAGTATAATGCATTCTGACATCGTTTAATTGAATATGATATAACATGACATATTCTAACATGGTATGGTATCATGCAAAACCATAAATGTCATCAAACAGCGTAGCAGATCTTTACATAACACAGAACAAAGCTAAACACTGTATAACATAGTATCACGGAATACCTTAACATATAACACCATGTGATATCTGGTAATGTGACTCAGCATAACACAGCATCATGTAGTATGTCAAATACAACATCATATCGTATAACAAACTTTTACAGAGTATCATCAGAAATCATATGACATAACATACGACAAGATATAGTCTAGTTAAGTATGGCACATTACAATACAGTTCAGAATAAGTAAAAGAATATATCCGATCAAAATAGTACAAGAGACAATAGATTGGAACAGAACCGAATAGAATAGAACCAAGCAGCATAGGATAGAGTAGAGTAGGGAAGAAAAGCCGAAAATACTACTATATTGCAACAAAGTATGTCAACAGTTTTGTAAGATAGCGGCATCGCGCTCTTCTTCTGGATGGCGGGCAGCAAGACTACGTCTGGTTGAGTAGAAAGCAGAGGCGACGCCGGCGAAGACCATTGCCGACGTCTCCCACCTGGCTGCGCTGAACCGCGTGAAGGTCCTCGTTACACGCGTGCCGAAGAGGACGCTGCTACCCCTGCGCCATCCGAGCTGCAGCGGCGGTGCAGTTTGTTCGAAGTACTGGATACATCGCGGGTTAGGGTTGGGGTGTAATCCGAACCCAAACCTCAACCCCATCCCGGACAAGCCTAGACCGCGACGATAATCCACATCATGTGGCTAGAGCTGATACCAACGGCAGGGAAGCCGCCGAAAGCTCGCTAATTGGAAACTGGAGTGGGGTACGCCCCAAAGGCGACGACTGCCTCGAGGATGGCCCACATACCCTGCCAGCGATTTTCAATTACGGTGCGATCCTCCGGCAACTTCCCGGACAAGCCTCGGCCGTGACGAATCCAGATCACATGGCCAGAGCCGCCCCGCCGAAAGGTCGCTGATTGGATACTGGAGGGGGGGTACGTCCCAAAAGCGACAACTGTCTCGAGGATGGCCCACCTACCCCAGCCATTTCCACCCGGTGCGATTTCTCGGGAAGTTTTCCGGACAAGCCTAGACCGCGACGAATCCAGATCACGTGGCTGGAGCCGATACCAGCGCGGAAAGCTCGCTAGTTGGAAAGCGACGATTGTCTCGAGGATGGCCCACCTACCCCCCCCTTGGTGCGGTGCGGGTTGCGTCCCAAAAGCCGGACAAGCGCTAGTGAAGGAACCATCTATCCCTATCCATCATCAAGTCGTAGAACCCGGACATCTCGGTATACCACTCTCCTGCAGCCATTGGTCACGCATTATTGCAAGTTGCTTCGGGAAGGTGCAAATACTGGGTGGCGCGGAATCAACCCTGCGGAAAGAGATCTAGTCCCCGTGCTTGAGCGACATTGCGCGCTCCCAGTCATGCGGAATCTCCGAGCAACCCACACAGGTATCAAACTCTAAGTGACTGGCAGCAACCATTGGCCCAATGAAGTGTGCCCATCCAGCAGCATCAAGCTGATTTGGGAGATTAGCAGCAAACAGGACTCCTCCGAAATCCGAGCAGCTGCCTGTCCCATCTCATCCAAGATATGAGGATAAACGATGGAAGCAACAGCGCCCTCGTGCGGGATTGGCTCGACAAGAGCAATGCATGCCCAGTGAGCCAAGTGGGAGGTCGCAGGGCATGCCTCGAATTGTCAACAACACTTCGTCCGGCCCATCATGGGGCCTGACCGATACCTGGGAGAACACCGTTTGGTAGTGGGCTGCAAATCGGGCAACACCTAGGATGGGATCGAGGTCAGCTGCATCACTATGATCCCCCGCTGCCCGTATATTTGGATCATGAAAAATGGTCTGGCGACAAGTCGGGACCTGACCGAGGCAGGCCGCTGTCCAATGAAAATACGGTAAACGCTGCAGACCGCACGGTGCCTCGGGGGCAGCCCAGACACATACAGGCATATGCAGTCCGACAAGCAAACGCAAGAGCCGGTGCCACGGCCCAAGCCGACCGTAACGATTCCTTCGGCGACGAGTATGACATGATTCCCATGCATATCACGTAAGCACAGGAGTGCCCTTCCTAGTGGCGACTTGCCCAACCCATCTGCCCAAGGAGCATGTGCTACAGGACGGAGCCGACAATCAAAAGGAGAATAATGCACGTCGACGATGCCTGGTCGACGAGCCAAGCAAGCCACGGAGCACCAATGGGCTTGTGTGCCTGTCCAAGAAGTTTGCTGTCACGTGGAATGCGGCCCGAATCTTGTTCGGCTCAGACGCATCCTGCGCAAGAGTCTGCAACGCATCGTGCTGGAGAGGCCACGCATGTTGGGCCTAAAGCAAAACTTCGGGGTCCTTCCACGCAATCGCTGGATTTTACGCTCTGTCTCAGATTAGGTATCCTTCTCAATGGTGTCCGAGAGAACCATGGTGTGAGGGAGAACACCGAATAAATTTCATTGGGGTGGATCCTGATCTTATTATATTGTTCATGATGCGTAGATGCTCATGATGTATAGGTGTGTAGGTATTGACTGTGACATGCGATTGTGCGACTGCGTCGAAAAAACCCTAAATCGTGGAAAAAACCCTAACCCCAAACTCCCTAATATCATACACATGTATATATATATATTTATATTTATATATTTATATATATATTTATATATATTTATATATATTTATATATTTATATATATATACA